TTAGTGCTTTTTTTCTTTTTTTAAAATTAATTAATTTTTTATTGCATTTTAGGTTTGGGGGTACATGTGAAGAGCATGCAAGATTGTTGCATAGGTACACACATGGCAGTGCAATTTGCTGCCTTCCTCCCCATCACCTATATATGGCATTTCTCTCCTTGCTATCTCTCCCCAACTCCCCACCCACCGCTGTCCCTCCCCTATTTCCCCCCGACAGACCCCAGTGTGTGATGCTTGCCTCCCTGTGTCCATGTGTTCTCATTGTTCAACACCCACCTATAAGTGAGAACATGTGGTGTTTGATTTTCTGTTCTTGCATCAGTTTGCTGAGAATGATGGTTTCCAGGTTGATCCATGTCCCTACAAAGGACACGAACTCATCGTTTTTTTATGGCTGCATAGTATTGCTTTTCTTTAATAAATCTAGCTACTCTAGAAGCAAGAGAAGAGAGATAAATGCTGTCTACCAAACTTATCATAGCAGTCTTCACTTCTTTTAGGTCCTTATAATGTGGCTAAAACCTGTTAACAAGCACACCTGAAAGGAACTTTATCTATCATTACAGGGAATCATGTATGCGACAAGCTCTTCCCTCCCATTGTGATACGATTCAATACTTTCTTGGGTTAATCCTACTACTCTCACCATAGCACACCTTACCCAGTTAGGAGGAACAGGGACAATTACAAAATAACAGAAGGAGTAGACTTGCAAATGGAATTATCATCTATTTAGAAATGTATATTGAGATATTCTCTCAGAACATACTCAGCAAATTTTACATTAGACATTACTACTACCTTGTTTTGATCCTAATTCTATTCCTATTGCCTGCTCTGCATATGGCAAGTACATGTTAAATGAATGAGTGAGTGAATAAATGATTGATTGAACAAGATGACTCAAGCATATCAACTAAGAAAATGGAGAAAAGAGAACATTTTAAACCAAAGTTAACACAGATTATCAATAGGTAGTTCTGTTCAGGAGCAATGCAACTCACCTGTTATTTTAAGTCACTTAAGATTTCTGTGGCCAAAAGAAAGGTACAGTTTCCTTTGGAGAGTTTACTCATTTGAAATAGATTCCATGACTATAAATGAATTTAATAATACATATAATATTTTACATGAAACATAATCTTAGTCTTGAATTTCAAACCATTTAGCACTAACACAATGATTTATTTTTAAAAATCTCCCTTTTGAAGGTAAATCATTTAGCACTTGTCAAGAACTTGCTATATCCCACACACCAGATTAAATCATCCTGGTAGAACAGTCATATAAGTCTATATTAATCCTGCATACACAGATCCTCATAGCTGTGACCACTCTCACCATAAAAAGTTAATAACCCAAATGTCCAGGTTATTATCCAGCTCATCCTTTTTCACTCTTATCTTTTAGAATTTCCTCTCACTACAAAAATCCACTATGCCTGGGACCAATATATGACCAAGAAATCTCATTATTAAAAATCCACTACTGCTTGATTGGTCTAGGTGCCACACTAACAAATTTTATTCTTCACTCTTGTTTCTACAACCAAACTTTTCATGAACATACAAAGCTTTGTCATCACCATTATTTCTTCCTAAACTACCTCTATTCTTAAATTTATTGTTCTATAAATCTAAAGGTTGTAGTCTTGTCTTGATTCATGAATTTTCTACCTGAGTGATTGCCATCATTACTAGTAGAATATATCAACAAATTTGTCCTGTGATTCACAACATGATATATTCCAATATATTTGGCAGCTGTATTGTCATCAAACACCATATTTATCTTGAAAAATGATAGCACTATAACATAATGGTAATTATGTAGCTCTGCAGATAAAAATCAAAGCATGCTTAGTAAAACCTGCCTCTACATAAAAGGGAAGAACATGTGCAAATCATATCTGAAAGAATTTGGAGTTCAAATTCTTAAAACAACTACATTTAAGTATGCTTAACAAAAAGAACTTAAAAAATACTTCAAAACAAAGATATCACAGATTGTCACCAGTTTTGTTCAGTAGCAATATAACTCATCAAAGTAACTGGCATATACTTTATACATATCTAGAACAAAAACTATATTGCATATATATTTGAGTTGAAAAACTGATACAGCTCTGCATACAATTGTGAAGCAGGAAGTGAGATGTACTCACTATGAGAATGTCAATGGCTTTCATTGACATTCTGTTGTCACCCTACTGAAATAACTACACTTTCTAACAGTGGTGCTATGAGTATTATTAAAGGTGGCAATAAGGTCATTTGAAGAAACAAAAAAATTTTTTCCTATTCAAATGTAAAAAAAAATGTCTCCCATTCAAATGTATGACTTACTTAGTCTAAGAATCCGTTTGTTAGCAGCCAACTCACATTTTTTCAGACATTTTAGAATTTAATTGTTCCAAATTGTAACCCATGAGTATGGACTATGATTTTTTTTTCCTTCTCTTTAGCTGTTGTTACAAGGCACTGGACAGAGCAGGCATTCAATTATTTTTTGAATTGATAATGCTGAGACTATTTTCTAAGTTTTATCACAGGTTGTGAAAGAACTGGTGAATCTCAATCATGTCTTATTTAGTTTGCTAGTGTTGCTATAACAAAGTGACACAAACTGCATAGCCTAAACCACAGAAATTTACTGCTCACAGTTCTGGAGGTTAGAAGCCTAAAATCAAGGTATCAGCAGGGTTGGTTCTTTCCAGGGGCTATAAAGAAAAGTTTTATTCCAAGACTCTCCCCTTGGCTTTTAGATGGCCATCTTCCTCCTATGTCTCTTCACATCACCTTCTCTGTATGCATGTTGTCTCTGTGTCCACATTTCTCCCTTTGTATGAGGACATCAGCCATGTTGGATTAGGCTCCACCCTAATGACCTCATTTTAACTTAATTACCTCTGTAAAGACCCCATCTCCAAACAAAGCCACATTCTGAGCTACAGGGGGCAGGTTAGGGTTTCAACATATGAATTTGGTAGTGGGAACGTAACTCAACTCAACTTATAACGATTTGATCTGTGACTCCCCTAAAAATTATGTCTTTCTTATATGCAAAATATATTCACTTGTGTAATTAAACACCTTAATGCATTGCAGCATCATCTCTAAGTCTAAAGATTCCTCCAAATGCCATCTAACTCAGTTATGGATAAGACTGAAGGTATAATTCATCCTGGGGCAAAATTTTTCTTCATCTCTAAGCCTGTGACACCAGACAAGATGTTGTGCTTTTAAAATACAATGGTAGGACAGGCATAGGAAAGACATTCCCATTCCAAAATGAAGAAATCATCTAGTAAGAGGAGGTTGCAGTTCCCAAGCAAAACTGAAATTTTTCAGAGTAAATTCCATTAGATGTTAAGGCTTAAAAAAACATCCTTTTTTTGGCCTGATGCTCTGCCTCTCTAGGCCCTTTGTGGTGGCAGTCTGAACAACAGCTTGGAGGGTGAGCTCATTCTAGAACCTAAGAGGTGACTCTGCTCTCCAGAGTATCCAGGAGGAGATTCTCTGCCTCTTGGGACTCTGCACTCTGGGTTTATGGTGACAGTAAGTGTCCTCCTGGTCTCTGCATCTGTGGCACTGCCCACGAAGTCCTGTGTTTTTTTTTTTTATCACATCTTATTCCTGCCCCTTTCAATCCAGGTTGACAGTAATTTTGCTGGTATACAGTTCTCAAAATCCTTGTTCTTGTCGTGGATATCGGGAAAGAATTCATGCAAGTCAAAGCCATCAGAGAGAGAGAGAGAATCCTTCACAGATCTTTCATAAATAAATGCATCTTCAGTCTTGTCTTCTCCTAGGATAGTTTACTGGATGTATGAGTCATATATCTAACCTGTTTAGTGAACAACTGTTCAGCCACACATTTGGTCCTATTTCCAGAAAATACTTCTTCGATAGGCTGAGGGTCTTCCCAAGCATCAAGTTATGTCTTTGCTTAACAGTTTCTTCTTTGGTTCACCTTTCCTTCTTGTATTTACTGTAATCAGCAAGGAGAACCAGGCTGTGCCTTCAACCTTGCTTACATATTGCCCCAATTAAATATTCAAGTTCATCATCACTTTAAAGATCTGTTTCCCACGAACCAGTAGGAAACAACTGGGCCAAGTTCTTTGCAGTGTTCTTTTCAATGAAGACTTTCCGATTTGTATTTACTGTATTTCAACATTATATTTTTCTCTGAGGCTCTCTGAGGTCAATGGACTCCTCCTATAACACTCTAAAGGAAACAAGTCATAAAGGAAACTCTCAGAGGGCTTCACAGTCTGAGAAGAGAAAGACAGTTTTCAAATCTCCACGTGTATCTCTCGGGAGGTGAGAGGGAGAATGTCCTATTGCCTGGTAAGCCAGCCAGACTATCTTAAGGCAGAAGGAAATAAACAGGGGTGATGCTCAGCTCACTTCAGTTCAGCTCTGTTAGATCAGGATGACCCACAGAAATAATCTCTGATTTTCCTAGAATAGCCCCTACTTTGACCATAGAGTTCACACTCAAAACAATTAAATGATTTTTTTTAATAGTCCACAGTGGATGTACATTTCTCTGGAGAGCTGCATGAATGTAGATGTGCATTTCTACTGAGAGCAGATGTAATGACCTGGTTTTCTTTGAATTCTCCAGTTCTCTGTGCAGCAGGTCTCTTAGTGAGACACTCATTTGATATGGTTTTGGCATATCCTCACCCAAATCTCATCTTGAATTTTAGTTCCCATAATCCTCATATATTGTGGGATTCCTTGAGTCCAAGGACGGACACCCCTGCAGGAGTGACCTGGACACGGCTGGATCCCTGCCGGATCTTCTTGCAGGTCACGAAAGGCCAGCGAGCCCTCACTTGGTTTCTGGAAGTCCTTTTCCTTGGCTGGACTTATCCAGTGGTTAGATTGCTCATGAAAAGAAATCGACCTGCTGTTTTCATAGGGTATTTCTCACTTCACTGTCTGATCTCATTGCTTTGTCCCTCTTCTTCCTGCCAGGAAAATAAACAGGTGTGGAAGGTGGAATTTGGAGCAAGATTTTCAATCACAAAACTGTTGTTGGAAGTAAAAAAGTAAATGGGAAAATCCAAAGTACCTATGACCAAGAACACACATGCCAGCCTATGTCCCAAGGAAGCTAATCCCAATAACAATCATCAAGCAAGTGATTCAGAATGTTACTCAGAAGGCTTCAGGTAAGTCCCCAGAAAAAAGCTCCCATGGGAGGAGTGAGTAACTAGTCCACCTAATTATTAGGTGGAGTAACTAGTCCATCTAATTATTCCAGGTCTTAATGAAACTACTGTAAAACTTCCTGCATCCCTAAGGTTTGAGATTTCAGATGCACTCAAGACCCAATTAGCTAAGAATGAAACCTTGGCATTACCTGCCGAATCTAAAACACCAGAGGTTGAAACAAACCCAGCACGGCCCACAACAGTGACTCCTGAAACAGTTCCAAGAACCGCTAAACCCACTATGCCTAGTAAATTAGATGTTTCAGAAACAACACTGGTGCTCAGCAAAAGGACCTCCGGAACATTGCAAACTATTCGAATACCTCAGTTTGAATTGCCACTGAGCACTCTAGTTCCAAAAAGTCTTCCAGAATTTCCTGAGGCAAAAACACCCTTTCCTTTTGAGAAACCTGGGGGCACCTTGGCTTCAAGTGAAAAGCCATGGATCGTGCCTACAGCTAAAACATCTGACAATTCCAAAGTTCTGCGGCCTCAAACTGCAACTTATGACGTTTTCTCAAGCCCTATGACATCAGAAGAGCCTGAGATTTCAGAGTCCTATACAGCAACAACTGACCGTATTCTGGATTCTGTCCCACCTAAAACTTCTAGAACTCTTGAACAGCCAAGGGCAACACTGGCTCCAAGTGAAACACCGTTTGTTCCTCAAAATCTGGAAATCTTCACCAGTCCTGAAACGCAGCCTACGACACCTGCTCCCCAGCAAACTACATCTATTCCTTCTACACCAAAACGGCGCCCCAGACCCAAACCGCCAAGAACCAAACCTGAAAGGACCGCTAGTGCTGGAACAATTACACCTAAAATTTCCAAAAGCCCCGAACCTACATGGACAACACCGTCTCCCAGTAAAACACAGTCTATTTCTTTGAAACCAAAAACCCGTCTCAGCCCAGAAGTGACACACACCAAACCTGCCCCAGAACCTCAGACTCCACTGCCGTCAGAGTCAACGGTAGGACCTGAAACACTGGGAACGAAACCTTCAACAACAGCATTAGCACCACGAAAGACCTAAACACCAGGTCGTCGCCCCCGCCAGCGTCCCCGCCCTAAAACCACATCTAGTCCAGATGTGCCCGCGTTCAAACTGGGTAAATGTGATATTCGCGTTCCAGTTAATGTAGGAGGTGGAATATGGCAGCTTCCGGGTTAGTAGCTGTCACCTACTTGAGCAGCTGGGCTTTAGGAATCGGTGGAATTGACTTTGATGACTGAGCATCTGTACTCACTTTCTATATGCATTTTTATATATGCACTTTATATATATATATGTACTGTATAATATGTTTCTACTCAGTCTGGTTTTAGTCAGACTGACTAAAACCAGAGTCAGACAGTGAAACAGTCACTGTGGAGGGGGGACGGCGAAAAATGAAATCCAAACAAGAGCAGAGCAACCAATGCCTGCCTCCCAAGAAGCGCGAGATCCCCGCCACCAGCCGGTCCAGCAAGGACAAGGCCCCCGCCCTGCCCAGCAACAACCACCGGGTGGAGGGCGCAGCATGGCTGCCGGGCAACCTTGGTGGCCGGGGCCACGGGGGCGGGAGGCAGGAGCCGGCCAGGACCTCGGCGGAGCTTGGTTTACACCAAGGAATAGGTTCACACAAAGCATTGTCCACAGGGCTGTACTACTCCCGCCCAGCACGCCCAGGTCTGTCCCTGTGGCCACCACGCTGCCCGCCGCATACGCCACCCCACAGCCAGGGACCCACGTGTCTCCCGTGCAGTACGCTCACCTGCCGCACACCTTCCAGTTCATTGGGTCCTCCCAGTACAGAGGGACCTACGCCAGGTTCATCCTGTCTCAGCTGATCCCCCCCACCACCAACCCCGTCACCAGTGCGGTGGCCTTGGCCGCAGGGGCCACCACTCCATCCCAGCTCTCCCAGCTAGATGCCTATTCCACTCTGTTAGCCAACATGGGCAGTCTGAGCCAGGCGCCGGGACACAAGGCTGAGCAGCAGCCGCGGCAGCCACCATCGACGCAGCAGCACCTCAGCAGGGCTCCGGGGCTCATCACACCGGGGTCCCCCCCCCCCCCCCGCCCGCCCAGCAGAGCCAGTACATCCACATTTCCAGTTCTCTGCAGAGCACCGGCCGCATCGCCTCTCCTCCAGCCATCCCCAACCACCTCCACCCCCATCAGAAGATGATCCCAAACACGCTCACCCTGCGGCCCCCTCCCAGGTCGTCATGCAGTACGCCGACTCCGGCAGCCACTTTGTCCCTAGGGAGGCCACCAAGAAAGCCAAGAGCAGCCGGCTGCAGCAGGCCATCCAGGCCAAGGAGGCCCTGAACTGTGAGATGGAGAAGGGCCGGCGGTATGGGGCCCTGTCCTCGGCGGATCTGGGCCTGGGCAAGGCGGGTGGCAGGCAGGTCCCTCACCCATACGAGTCCAGGCACGTGGTGGTCCACCCGAGCCCCTCCGACTACAGCAGTCGCGACCCCTCGGGGGTCCGGGCCTCTGTCATGGTCCTGCCCAACATCAGCATGCCCGGGGCGGACCTGGAGGTGCAGCAGGCCACTCATTGCGAGGCCTCCCCCTCCACCCTCAACGACAAAAGTGGCCTGCACTTAGGGAAGCCGGGCCACCGGTCCTACGTGCTCTCACCCCACATGGTCATTCAGACCACACACGGTGCTTCAGAGCCACTCCCGGTGGGACTGCCAGCCACAGCCTTCTACGGGGGGACTCAACCCCCTGTCATCGGCTACCTGAGAGGCCGGCAGCAAGCGATCCCCTACGCCGGCAGCCTGCCCCAGCACCTGGTGACCCCCGGCACACAACCCCTGCTCATCCCGGTTGGCAGCACTGACATGGAAGCGTCGGGGGCAGCTCCGGCCATTGTCATGTCGTCCCCCCAGTTTGCTGCAGTGCCTCACATGTTCGTCACCACCGCCCTTCCCAAGAGCGAGAGCTTCAACCCGGAGGCCCTGGTCACCCAGGCCGCCTCCCCGGCCATGGTGCAGGCCCAGATCCACCTGCCCATGGTGCAGCCCGTGGCCTCCTCCATGGCAGCCCCTGCCACGCTGCCTCCCTGCTTCATGAAAGGCTCCATCATCCAGTTGGCCAACGGGGAGCTGAAGAAGGTGGAAGACATAAAAACAGAAGATTTCATCCAGAGCGCAGAGATAAGCAACGACCTGAAGATCGACTCCAGCACGGTGGAGAGGATCGAAGACAGCCATAGTCCGGGCATGGTCGTGATACAGTTTGCCGTCGGAGAGCACCGAGCCCAGATGATGACATCATCTTACAAAATCACACCGTCTCTGTTTCACGTCCAAAACAGTCCCCGCTGGCATTGACAGCATGTTTTGAGATGGAGAAGGCTCCTCTCCAAAGGAATTTCAAGCAACAAATTTGATTATATATATTCTCACTGAAAAACCCCTCAGCGAGATTTCGTCATTAACTGTTAATGATCAAAAAGTTTATATCCTTATGACAAACCTAATTATAAAAATAGATTTGCTATAAAAAAAAATAAAAAGCAGTTTGAGGTAATTGAATCATGGGGGTGGTTACTCTCATGCTGTTCTCATGATAATGATTGAGTTCTTACAAGATCTGTTGTTTTATTAGGGACTTTCTCCCCTTCTTTACTCGGTACTTCTGTCTCCTGTCCCCACGTGAAGAAAGATGTTTGCTTCCCCTTCCATCATGATTGTAAGGTTACTGAGGCCACCCCAGCCATGCAGACCTGTGAGTCAATTAAACCACTTTCCTTTATAAGTTATCCAGTCCTGAATATGTATTTATTAGCAGCCTGAGAATAGAATAATAGACCATAACAAATAAGCTTCTCAGTGTATCCTTTTAATTTTTCCTCAGTAGAGCACTGTATTAGTCAGTTGAGGCTGCCATAACAAAATAATGCAGAATTGGGCGGCTCAGACAGCAGAAATTTATTTTCTTGCAATTCTGAAGCCTGGAGGTTCAAACTCAGGATTTCAGCATGGACAGTTTGTAAAGGATCTTCCCTTGAGAGGCAGAAAGCCACCATCTCACTGCGTGTTCACATGACCTCTTCTTTGTGCTTTTATGGAGAGAGTAAGCAAGCTCTTAGGTGTATTTTTTTTCATGAGGGTAGAGGTCCCATCATGAAGACCATTCTTATGATCTCATCTAACCCTAGTTACTTTCCAAAAGCCTCATCTCCATATATCACACTGGCAGTAAAGGCTTCAACATATAAATCTGGGGGAAGCAAAATTCAGCCCATGGCAAGTGCTAGTGCCCCTTGATTTTTTGAAATTGCTGTTTTATGAGCAGTGAAGTTCTTGAGGACCTGAGAACTGATGAGCCCGCCTGGTCTTTATCCATGTCATGAAATAATTAGATGAAATTTTTATCTCCATTAATAACACATGAACTGGTTAAGCATTATTTTCTCTAGCAGTTGGTTTAAACATGAATTTGGTATACTAAAATAGCTTTGCATCTGGTCTTCAGCACAAATAATATATATTTTTGTATATCAATAACTTGTTTTTCTAGCATATTGGCAAAACAGAGCACTAGAGGAAATACTAAGCTAGGCAATGGAGATGTGAGGATATAGGTGGTGATGCCTATAAGTTAAGTGTGTGTTTCTTGCCCACCATCAGAGTGTAATATTGCAACATATTTTCTAAGCCCTAAGCACTCTAATGCATTCTACAAGCCAAAGAAGAAAAATCTGTTTGGAAAATAAGATATAGCATATGGTAATGGTTAACTAACTCCATTAATCTTGAAATAAACATACTATATGTTACACTTGACTACAAATATATGAACTATGATTTATTCTCAATATAGAAAATAGAAATAAAATATATGAGACTCACCACTTTTTTCATATCACTGCATAGTTTCTCTTCGAAACATTTTTCTTGTTTTGTTTTGTTTTTATATTTTTATTCTGTATATAGGTATGAGATAGTAGAAATTTACATTTAGAAGAAATTAATTGATCTGGAGTTTTATATAGATTTTCATTTGCTCTTCCTCATAGTTTCTGTAAATGAATTAAATATTAGTTATTAGCATATAAAATATTTTCTTCTTGAATAAGCTCTATTTGGTGGAAATCTGTTTTGAAGTTATTACTTTATAAAATAGCAGACTAAACTGCAAGTATTTCACCCCTCTGCTTTCATTCAGTGAATATTTTCTAACAAGACAATATATGGCAGGTATTTTAAAAGCTAATGGTAATGTGAGATGTATAAAGATCTTGGTTCAGCATCTATCCTATAGGTACAATGTAAAACAAAAAGTCTATAGGAGACAACATCTATCCCAAATGCCTTGGCCTGGAATGGAATAAGGAAATAACTTTAATCCACTGCATAGTCAGAATAAGGTGTAAGGTATAAGTCATCCTTGGAGAGGTAATACAGTGCCTTATCAATTCACATAGCTTTTACAAAGGCCTCGTACCTGCTGGTCCTCTGCCTTGAGTGCTCTGTCCTCTATTGGTCTGTCTTCTTTTGGTCATTCAGACTCAGCTAAAGTACCACTCCTTGAGAGAGCTCTTGTCTATGCATTTCCAGGAGCCAATAATATGTGTTGTAGCATTCTTTAAGTAACCACAAATAAAAAAAGGGAGAAGGAAATAGAAAAAAACAAAGCCTCTAAATATCTAGCAAAGAGTTTATGTCAAATATTAAGGCACAGCCATATGATTAGTATATTATGCAATTAATTATTAACATGATATTCTAGAAAAATATTTCATAACCTGCATGAACAAACATTATAAAAGATAAACAAATATACATCTACAGTAGAATATACATATTCAGTAGACTCTACAGAAAAACAAAATTTGGTGTTACATCTATCTATATAGATACAGACATATTTACAAGCAAAAAGAAAAGCTTGAAAAGACACATCAAAACAACCATTGTTTCTATAGGTGTCTATATTTTCCAAATCATCAATACGGACATGTAATACATTCTTGATTGGAAAAACAATAAAGGATATTGGAAAAAATATCAGTATTAGGGCTTTCTGGCTGCTAAAGTATCATGTACTTCAGCTCTGACAATACTTTTTTTTTAAATCATTGCTTTTCAGTTAGCCGTTCTGTTGTCACAGAGATGCCCTTCAGTTGCTGTGGCAACAAATGAATAATAATCCACACTTGTGTAACACTT